ATGAAGTAGTTTACCGGAGGACGTGATGGCGGTACAGCCACACCGCCATGCTGCGACGCTGAGAATACCTTAAAAAAACACATATTTATTTGGCTTTTCTAAACATTTCATGAAAATGGGGGAACATTATGTCAACAGTTACATCATTTATTTAATTTTAGCAATTCTTGATACTGTACCCAATAGTTATGAATCTGAATGTGTTATAGATACCAGAAATGTTAGTAAGTAAGTAAGAATGTATCAATCTGTAGAAGAGATAGATAGAAAGCAAGTCGTGCTGTGATCTTCTACATTCTTATGTAGAATCGCGATTATAAAAAAGAAAATACTCGAAATTCTCTAACAACTTAAACAGTATTTTTCCTGGAAAGGGGATATTGGTGAAGACAATAAAAGTGGTTTTATTCAAATATAACAACAAGAAAGTTTGGAGTAGGAGTAGGTATGAATACTGTAGCTATGGATAGCTTAAATCATTTACTATGCATCTATAAACTGTGGGGAAATCTTGGTTAAAACATCTGAAGATTACAAGCAATACTTTTCCTGATGAAAGTATTCCGTCGACATGGAAAATGGAAAAAATGTATCTATTTTGCAAGGCTATTTCAAGCAATGATTATAAAGATGCCCTTCCTATCGGCTATCCTATTCTCTTTTAAAAAATTCATACATTGTTTGATAGAGCATACATGAGCGCCTTCAATTAGAGACCGATAGTGAAGTAGCTATTAACAACCCCTTATGCCTCTTGAGGTCTAGGGTGGTTTCAACGTTAAAACTCTGACCGTACTGTTATCTTATTTAAAACAGCTTAAATTTAAAATACCAGTGGAGAATTATGTATAAATGTTATTGTTCGCTAACAAGCAGTGTTAAATCATTCGCATTCTTCCTGTAATTTTTTCAAAAAATTGTATACAAGAGTCAGATGATAGTTTGTAATCAGTGTTGGTTGCTGCAACTATATGATGTAACTCCTTTGAATCCGTAGTATGACTCAGCATTCTACTTTCATAACTTGCTTATGATTGAAAAGATTAAAATGAATAGTTCTAACTCTTTTACACGAAAAGCTGTTCAGAAAGGATTTACATATGCGTATATTTCTCAGCTTCCTTCCGCTCCAAGACAAATTATTGACAAAAAAAAAGTTCTAGGAACACATCAAAGCCATTTTTCAACTTCGGGAAGAGATTTCATAGAGTGTAAGGAGGAAAAAAGTAAAGCCGTCGCATCTACCAGAAAGCCAAGTAGGCAGAATGAAGCATATTTAATAAATATTTGAGACCTGCTGTAGAGACAATCACTTGATTTGTGAAATCAAAAAAAAAATTTCGATATTTTTTCGTTATGAGTGACATTCATTTTGGATTTGTTGCAAAATTCCAATCAGTTTCCGAGGTCACCTCTCATCATCTTTCTATCACAGCATACACAGCACTAGTGCCACCCACTTTCAACTCGCTCACTTCCGATGACTTTGTGCTTTTGATTCTCTGAGAACTCGTTTGTCATTAAACATATGATTCTTATCAAGATGAACCCACTCCATACTGTTTCTTTTATTGTCACTTGGACCGGATCGACAGGATTTTCATTGATTGTGTACATAATCAAAAGTGGATGGATGCGATGAAGTCATTGAA